AAAAAAAAAATAATTTCCCTCTGCTGTTTCTGTGTATCTGTCTTGCTACTTCCGTGCACTACGTTTTTTAATGACTTATTGTGTCGATCTGCTTCTTTCACTCTAATTTAAATTATCTTTTCTTTTTCTGGCCTGTGGGTGGTTGGTGGGTGCTCTGGTGTGGTTTGATTAGAACTTCTTTCCTATCAAACATCTATCGTCCTTATCTCTCCTCCTTTTTTGTGTTTGTTACTCTCTTGTAACACCTCTAAATCTTCGGCACTTGTATGACTTTATTGTGTTGTAAGTGCCGTAAAGCACTTACTAAAACTAAATAAACTTTTCTGGCCTACTATTACCCAAATAGGGTCCCTTTCGAAAAATGACAGCTATTGTGCATGTTTAAAGCAAACTACAGCTCCCAGTCTTCAACCATTTCTTTTCTATTGTCACACCCATTGCTGGTAAAAATCATCAAAAAGTCTTACTAACTCGATTCGGCGCCTGTGGTGAAATGGTTACGTGTTTTGCCGTCACACGCAGAAGACATGAGTTCGATTCTCTTGTGTGGAGAATTTTGGATAAGAATCTCTTTGGGTTTTTGTTTGTTTTTGTAAGTGTTTTACGGCGCTCGCAACTGCATAAGGTCATATGAGCGCGCGGGACTCATTAAACTTTTTCAGTTGGTAGGAAATTTTGAATATTGCCCGGGTGGCGGCCGAAGCCTACTCTTATCGATTTTAGACCACCAAGGGGTTTTTAACGTGTGCAACTTGCACACGGACCCTCCGAGGTTTTTCGCCCTTGTCCGAGAAGGCTAGGTGTAAATCTTCCCTACCAGAAGATCAGGGGTGTGGCCTGAAAGATAGCAGCACGAAGAAGCCAAGGAGTAGCAGTAGAAAGGCTGTAGAAAAAATCAGGAGCCCAGAGGAGGGGGGCAAAGGAGATGAGGGAGTGGAGGCAGAAAGAGGAGACGAAAGCAGACGACAGAACATTACTAGAGAGCAGGAAAGGAGGTGAAAGGAGACAAATTTAGAGAAGAAAATTTTTCGGTCACTACCCGGATTCGAACCCGGGACCTTTGAATGAGAGGCCAACACCTTAACCTCTAGGCCACGAGAGCCCCCTAAGAATCTCTGTCTTTCTGCTAAGACGATGCACCTCTCTCAGCCCGTGTTGGCCCTGACAGCCTGCCTCCTAAATGATCTAAATTGTGCCAATTGGGACGTAAAACTTACTCACTTTCAATATTATAAAACAACAATAAAAACAAACAACAATATCCCCAAAACAAAGCAAGAAAAAGAACCATAAGAAAACCGAACAAACAATCAAACAAACAAAAGCACGAAGAAAAACTCGATCGAGACCAAACCATTCTTTCCTTTAAAAAAGACCGACAATGAACTTCAAACCTTACTTACTATTACCTAAAACGACCTAAGGGGGGCAAATTGAGGGACATCGCCCGTACTTTAGCATTAGTCACGCCAAACATTTGCATTTGACCTACGTAATAAATTAACGTCTTGCCCAACACTGTGGACGTCTGACGAGCGCACAGATTAAGTACAGTAAAGTTGCCCGATGCGGACTTTAGGCTTGGGACGCTGTTGTTAATATGATACAGTGATTTATGATGAATAAT